AAATACTACAATAAATGAGGTTTAACCTATACCCTAAAAGCATAAGTTAAAAATCCATTTATATAATATAATGAAAGATAATGATCGATATATTTTTTAGTTAATATATTACATAATACATTTATTAAAAAAAATTAATTTTTAGCATGAAATTAAAAACAAATTTAATGATATAATCACCCATACTAACTAAATTAGTTATATTTAAATTATATTTTAATAATTAAACCAAAATAAATATTAAAAAATGTGTTAAACTAAGTGTACCCATCATTTTTCTATAATAAAGCAATGAAGAACATAAGAATTTCAACTCTTATGCAATCTCTAAAATTATCATTTCAAATTTACTTGAAAAACACCTTCAAATTTTAATTTTATATTATAGGCAACCAATAAATACTACACATCATATAAACTAACCAATTATCGCAAAACTTCCATTAAAAACCCAAAGAGATACAAGTCCTTAGTGAAAACATAAAGAAAACAAAAAATTTTAAAGGTACATAAATTTTAAAATAACAGAGCATTCTCAAAAAGGTCTTTAAAAGTTTGATGCTGAGAGAAAAACACACAAAGAGAAAAAATGAGCTTAAGGTGTTTTTTTTTGGGAGAGAGGAGGTGAAGAATTTTGGTAAACACTTATTTTTAGTCCCTCCTTTTACTAAGTGTGAAGGTTTTAGTTTTTACTTTATATTATGATATTTTTAATTTTTTATTTTGTAATATTTTATTAGTTCTGTTAGTTGATTGTTAATTTTATTAGCTGACTGTTAGTTGATTATTAATTGACAAAAGCCTTTTTTTAGTTAATAAATTTAATAGAACTAATTTTATAATATTTCGTTTATTCTCTTAACTAAATATTAGTTGACTATTAATTGACAAAAACTTATTTTTAGTTAACAGAATTAATAGTTAATATAAAATGAGAGTTATTTTCTTCGATTTTAATACGTAAATGACTAAAATCTATAAATCTAATAAGGTGAAGAGTTAAAAATGTTATAGTATAAGGTGAAAGACTAAAACCTTCAAACTAAATAAGATAAAGGGCTAAACCTAAATTTTTACCGAAAATTTTTTGGTATAGTTCATAATTGAAATTCAGAACTAACAAATGATATAAAGGAAAAAGAAAAGACGTCTAATGAGTGGTGGTTTAATTGACTATGGGGCTTGATTTCCACTTAATCAAGGTCTGATTTTTGGCAGAAGCTAATGAGTAATCTTGACTTAAATGATCTAGTATAATCAATGCCTCTAGTCCTACGGACGAGACTCAAAAGTTGTCGTTTTAGTTATAGAGCCGCTCTTGTTCGTCATAAGAAATAATAATCAATAATAACAATTAATAGTACTAATGAAGAATCCAATCAGGTTGGATCTGTCAGATAGGGTCGGGTCACACCGTTGGACTCATGTCAACAATTCCAAAATATATAATTTAAAAACAGCCTTCCTTTAAAAAAAAAAAAAAAGAAAAAAGAAAAATCCACCCAAGGCTTACACCATTCACATCATTCAAACATGAGAGATTGTAAATTTACTCAGATTGTGTAAAACCCAACATTTCAAACTGATTTCACAAAGTTAAAATGATACATAAAGGACATACAAAGGGGGATGAAAATTAAATTTCATGGCTGTTTCTGGACAATATCTTCCATGGGGAAAATAGTGCCATGATTACAAACAGAAGGGATAGGCAGTGAAAGATTGTACAATGTGTATTTAAGTTAGTGGCTTGCATCAGTATTGTTACCAAATTGTGCTGGTAAGGAGCGCTTGTAAGCATCTGATACAGCAATGGCGGTTTCTGAGACTTTGGTCCTCATCTCTGAAATTTTGGATTCCATGTACTCTTTGTATTTGGAGACTGAATCAACCAGTGCAAAGAGTTTGCATGCATGCATCTGAATTTCTTCTTCGCTTTGTTTGATTGCTTCCTGCAACTTCAATTCGGAGGCCTTCATGGAGACATAAAGTTTGATTAGGGGTGCATGAACTGAACCATTCATATCCATGACAGGGAATGATTCTTCAGCAAGACAAGATATTTAAATGCAGAAGTGGGTGTCCTCCAAAAAAAAACACAGCAAACTCAAATTTTGTTTTTTCAAATGTTAACAGAAAATTAATAGACTCAAACATTTTATTAAAGAAACACCCAATATACAGACCTTAAGGACCTCAGCTGCTTCTCTTTCCACAATGTCTAAATTATGAGCCTCAATCTGAACATCCTCCACCATCTTTCTAGCTTCTGCTGCACATTTATAAGTGTAATCCTGCATTTCCTTCTTTAACAAATTCACTTGGGCTTCCACCTAGCAATAATAATTAACATGGCCAAAGGTGAAGATCTGAGAATGCCTATCTTTCACAAATAAATTCCCTACTAAAAGTACGAGCTATAATCATCTAGCTGTGCAAGCTCTTATTAAAAATACAAATAGATGCCAAATTGGGCTGCAACTGTTGGACCCAGGTTATGATTGGTTACTTGACAAAAGTAAGCTGAAAGATAAAAGAATCCAATATGGTGAATTTTGACAGCATTTTTACAGTATAAAGCAAAGGATAAGGCATGAAACAGAACAGTGATGTGTTCAATCCCCAAGCAAACTGATTCCAGGAGGTCAAAATGACATCTGAGAAACTGTTCATTAAGAATGATGATATAATGAACAAACAATGACACATCATGAAATGCTAACGTGCGTATAATCTATATTTGATCCAGTCCCCTGTTTTCAGAAGAATGAGGATGCAGTCACTTAGTTACTTGACAACACAAGACAACAGAACACAAAAAAAATCGAAGGCATCCATTGAATAGCCCCATTTAGATGTCTGGATACACAAATGAGGAAACAGATGATATCCTTAATATGGGCCTTTATCATTGCACCACATCTTTCAAAAGAAGCCATGAAAATCAGTTCCCCCAGGCCAGAAAGTTCCAAAAATAAGGATCTCATCAAGGACAGTAAGATGACCTTTTAATTTGGTTGTGTAGAGTTTTAGAATTGGCATTCTATGTTTTTTAAGATACTACTTCTGAATCCCTGTGCCTTGAGTTATCCATCATCATTCTGTGAACCTTCAAATTAACTTAACTTTTGACTACACAATATTAATAGGATTATATTTATATCAAAGTTTTTGTGAAAAAGAAACCATAAACAAGTATGTAAATGTTTAACAAAACAGATGAAAATTTAATAAATTATTATCAAAGTACAAAATGAATACCTAATTTGAGAGCACTTACTTCATCAATATGGGACTGAAGGGCAGCAATGTGATTCTTTTTTTCCTCAATCTTAGTAGCCATATCCTTTGACTGTTGCTGGACAACAATCAAGTCCTCAAGCTTTTTTGTATAGCTCTCCCTTACTTTTTCACCATAGCCTTCAAGCTCAGGTTTAATTGTAGATTTGTAGTCAATTCCCATCACCTCAGCAGGCGTTGAGCCCTTGGCGTTCAGTACATACTGAAAATCATTACCAAGCTTTAACCTGGAACCACAAAAGAAGGACATAAGCATTAATAATTAGAGTACTGACTAGGGTGGAAACTGCAAAAAGTGGCAAAGTGCTTTTACTTAGCAACAAAACCTTTTGTACATATAGAGATAACCAAATATAAGGTACATTAGGTCAGAAACTGAAATACATAGATTTCTTTTTTTGATCAGCAACAGACGGTAGTGCTTAGCTATAAACTGTCAAACCAACACTAGATAGAAACTCATACATTGAAACATATAAAACCATAGAACATTCACACAGCTGGTCAATCAACATATCTTCTTCTTCTGTCAAATATTAAACTTTAAGCTTAATGTAATCGACTTCATAGATGTATCAAGCATCGCTGTCAACCAACCATGAACTCCATTCAGGCTTGGAACTATTTAGAAGAACTACATTTTAATTATCAAAAACAGTTCTATGCTAAGCAAAGACTTCAAGCAGTGAATTATCTTTAGAATCAATATTTAGAGACTTAAATATAAAACATAATATGAAAAAAAATGTGAATTTAAGCACAGAAAAACCTCCTAATAGACTGGTTGCACTCCATGGCAAGTGCCTGAAGCTCCTTAAACTTTTGCCCATTGGTGGAATCAAGATCCCAAGACTTGTCCTCCCACAAGTTCCTGGCAGCCTCGGCCTCCCCAGTATCCCTCTCCAAAGACTGCAACTCCCTCTTCATCCTCTCCACATCCCTTGCATTAAAAGTCTGTAAGTCAACTCTTTTCTTCAGCTCCTCGTTCTCCTCGCAGATCCTCATCCTCTCCCCCTCCTTGGCACTCAATTCCTTCTCTTTCTCGTCCAAAACCCTCTCTTTTTCCCCAATAAACCTCGTGAACTCGGCAATGATTTGATGGAACTTGTTCACATCTTCCTCCAACTCGCTTTTCTTATTCTCCAATGCTTCCTTATCCGTTGGACCAGTCCTCAAGCTCTCAGCCTTTGCCTCCAACTCCTCAGCATTACTCTTCAACGACTTCACCATTTCTGTAACATCCTCTCTTTCCTTCTCAATCTTCTCCATGAACTCGCGGTCCAATGCATCCACCAGATCGTCCTCTCCGCCAATGTAACGCATATAGCTCTCCAACGCGTACTTGTTCATGCTGTCATTTGCAGCGAAAGAAGAATTCTGTGACAAATGCTCATTATACATAGTAATTTGGACCAGCCAATGAATGATAGCAAGACAATTAGGCCAGTTATGAGGCGTATTGGGAGCACGGAGCATAGATTTGTTGATTTTGAACGGGCAATTGAGGGATTTGAGGAGGAAAAAGAGGTCATCTTCGAGTTTGGAAGAGGGGAAGTGGAGGAGGGAGAGAAGGGATTTCAGAGTATCGGAGATCTCCTTCAGCGAGGGCACTTGGGACGGTTTAGAGGAGAGAGGAGGGAGGGAATGGGAGGAGAGGAAAGAGTTGATGGAGCGGAGGGCGGCAGACTGGTAAGAGCGGTCGGCGTAGGGTTCTACGCCGGAAAAGGAGCGGCCGATGCCGATAGAAGAGGGACGGCTACTGGCGAAACTTGCATCGGAGTCGCGCGATACCGGTGTTGGAGGTGGAGGGTTGAAAGTCTCAGTTGGACGGCGGCGCGTGGTGTTCCTCATCCCTTCTCCCTCTTTTCAGTCTTTCGGAGTGTCTTTTCGGGATTCAACTTCTGACGTGAGGTAATGTTCCCGCCCGCTCAGGGGTTAAACTAAAAAAAAGAAAGTGGGCCGTGAAATGCCAAAGGGCCTGAGGCCCGCTGAATTGCTGAACTTTGCATTTTGATGCTTGAACCAGAAATTGCATTTTCTTTTGGAGGAGAAAGCCCAAAAATGAATGGCCCAATATGTAACAGTTACAAGAAAATATATGAAGAGAAAAAAAAAATGTATTGGATATAATTTGAATTGCATTGAATTACACAAAAATAACTATTAAATTTAAAAAGACCCAAAACTTCTTAAATATCGGGCTTCCCCAATTCAATGATGTGCAGTCCAGACTGCAAAAAGTATAGACTTTAAGAAAATTGAGGAAAAACAAAAGTAACGCTAATTATCCAAGGAAAGACAATCAGAATGCAGCTTTTTGTTTAATTTTATTTACAAAAATTGAAGAAGCAGTATCATGCAGTATATTTGCTGTTTAATAAAGAAAAAAAAATACATTCTTGTTGCACTCTGAGTTACACACAGTTGATGTTCACCAACCTAAAGTGTTAGACTACTTGTTTAAAATTCAAATCCCCTCTCCCAATACCAAAAAATCACATTCTTGTTAAATTCTCATTTGCAACATATACACGTAACCTTTGAGGATAGACCGTTTCCAGTTGATGCTACAAGTCTTTCTTTCTCCATATACCAGTTGGGACACCATAACACACTGGAGAAGCCCCAATCAAGAAAGGGAGTGTACAAGCTTCACGAGCTTGACCCATGAAGGATCCTATCTTTGGTCTGTGATCAAAAGTATTCTTACTTGAATCATTATGAGTTTCTGGTAATTCCTTCAATGGAACCCTCTTCTTGGAATTCCCCTTACGGCCACTTATGTGCATTCCCTCAAATTCTTTCAGAAGTACATTGCATTGGGATGGATTTGCAATATCTGATCTTGCTCTCAACCAGGCATCAAGCATGGCCTTTGCAAATCGGTCAATGTCTTTGTCTGTCACTTCCCACAAGTTGGCCACAATAACAGGTGAACCAGCCAATAGATATGACAGTGGAGTACCTTGTGGAATATAGCATCCATTCAGTGACAATGTACCACTGCTGCAACCCATGAGAAGAGTAGCAGCACAATTGTCCAGTTTCTGAATCTCATGTCGAGGAATGTATTGTGATCCTGTACCACAAAAGGTATGCCATATGCATGTAAGTTCAAGTGATATTTGCGAAAATGCCAAAATGTTGGGAGGAACAAATGCAGTGCAAATGTAAGTTCAATCACAAGCATACCACTTCCATGGCCAAAATATAAAAAGAGATCATGGCTTTTTAAGGCTGTAGCCAGTTCTTCAGTTGTGGGGACCGACCCAGCCCTTCCCTGCATATCGGATTTAAATTACAAATAGGAAAATTGTTCCCGGAATTAATACTATATATGACATGGAAAATGCAGAGATGAACAGAAATGTCCAGGTTAGTCTAAAAAGATATCAGAGACAACTACAATTTAAGATAAGCTGGCCCTTTTATCAGTTTTTATGACCTAAAAGGAAAATTAAAAGAAAAAAATTTACCTCAAAGTTTTGATCCTTAAACCATTTCTCAAATTCAACTTGCGTACTGCTGAGATCACCACTGGGATTTAGCAGAAAAAATGCATTTCTCATTTGATGTTCACCAACCTAAAGTGTTAGACTACTTGTTTAAAATTCAAATCCCCTCTCCCAACACCAAAAAATCACATCCTTGTTAAATTCTCATTTGCAACATATACACGTAACCTTTGAGGACATACCGTTTCCAGTTGACGCTACAAGTCTTTCTTTCTCCATATACCAGTTGGGACACCATAACACACTGGAGAAGCCCCAATCAAGAAAGGGAGTGTACAAGCTTTACGACCTTGACCCATGAAGGATCCTATCTTGGGTCTGTGATCAAAAGTATTCTTACTTGAATCATTAGGAGTTTCTGGTAATTCCTTCAATGGAACCCTCCGGGAATTCCGCTTATGGCCCCTTTTGTGCATTCCCTCAAATTCTTTCAGAAGTACATTGCATCGGGATGGATTTGCAATATCTGATCTTGCTCTCAACCAGGCATCAAGCAGGGCCTTTGCAAATCGGTCAATGTCTTTGTCTGTCACTTCCCACAAGTTGGCAACGACAACAGGTGAACCAGCCAATAGATATGACAGTGGAGTTCCATGTGGAATATAGCATCCATTCAGTGACAAGGTACCACTGCTGCAACCCATGAGAAGAGCAGCAGCACAATTGTCCAGTTTCTGAATCTCATGTCGAGGAATGTATTGTGATCCTGTACCACAAAAGGGATGCCATATGCATGTAAGTTCAAGTTATACTTGCTAAAATGCCAAAAATGTTGGGAGGAACAAATGCAGTGCAAATGTAAGTTCTATCACAAACATACCACATCCATGGTCAAAATATAAAAACAGATCATGGCTTTTTAAGGCTCTAGCCAGCTCTTCAGTTGTGGGGACTGACCCAGCCCTTCCCTGTATACCAGATTTCAATTTAAAAAAGGTAAATTCTTCCCGGAATTAATACCATATATGACATGAAAAATGCAGAGATGAACAGAAATGTCCAGGTAAGTCTAGAAGGACATCAGAGGCAACTAAAATTTAAGATAAGCTGGCTCTTTTATCAGTTTTTATGACCTAAAAGGAAAATTAAGAAAAAAAAATTACCTCAAAGTTTTGATCCTTAAACCATTTCTCAAATTCACCTTGTGTATTGCTGAAATCACGACTGGGATTTAACAGAAAAAAGGCATCCATGGGATCTATCAAACGAAAAGCAGCAACCTTCTTATCAACTTGTTCTTGATAAAGACAGATTCTGTCAAGCATTACAGAGATGCTGCCAACAGAAGGCATGCGGTATACCTCCTGGTTTCTCAATGTTGGTATGCTCTCCCATGGAAGCATCTGCATACCATCTTTGTAATCAGTTTGTTGCAATGAAATTAAAAGTGTTGTAAAAGTGCAAATAATGAAAAAGTGTACTTAATCCAATAATCCGCCAACAGAAGCCATGATCAGAGAATGGATTAAACCCTTAATCACACTTCTAGTTTAAGTGCATGAAGTGACATAAATAAAGTCCGAAAAATTAATAACATTCACTTCAAGCAAATTCACCCACCTGTACATCACAGTCTAGCGCCAATATTATTGGTTCTCTCATTGGGTTGTCTTCCTCATCAAGTCTATTCACTGCATCCTGTATTAGTTGGAAGGGCAGCCTAGAAACCTTATCAGTGCTTTTAGACAACTCACAACTTTCTTCACCAAAATGCTCATCAGTGCCAACAAAGCAACCTTT